GAAGCAGGGTCACCTACAGCAAGCTGCACAGGACCTTGTCCAGGCGGGTCTTGAATATCTCCAGAGAAGGAGACTCCACAACCTCCCTGGGCAGCCTGTTCCAGGGCTCCGTCACCCTCAGAGGGAAGAAGTTCTTCCTCATGTTCAGACGGAACTTCCTGTGCCTCAGTTTGTGCCCATTGCCCCTTGTCCTGTCACTGGGCACCACTGAAAAGAGTTTGGCCCCATCCTCCTGACCCCCTCCCTTCAGATATTTGTAGGCATTTATAAGGTCCCCTCGCAGCCTTCTCTTCTTCAGGCTGAACAAGCCCAGTTCCCTCAACCTCTCCTCGTAGGGGAGATGCTCCAGTCCCCTCCTCATCCTCGTAGCCCTCCGCTGGACTCTCTCCAGTAGCAATTGTTTTTTCCCCGACACCCTGGCAGCAGGCAGGTGTGGGATGCCCCACACATTGCAAGGCTGGAGACTTGTCGGAGTGAGGAAGATGGAGTTGAGTCCAAATGCCTCAAAAACGGGTGCTTAAAATCAAGGATTCGGGGGATATTCCCAGAATTTCAGGAGCAGCTCCAAAATAGCCCCCGCCCAGCAGCACCATTGTGAGCCCCACAGGTTTCTCCAAGCTCTCGCACCCCGTGGGCGAGGGGGTAGGAGGGGGGAGGACAGCCCCAACTTGGCACTTACCTTCTCAAAGGTGGCCAGCAGCACGTGGCAGTGCCCGGTGTGCTCTGCAAGACACAAAGGGACGGGCAGGGCTCAGGGGACTCACGGGGCCATGGCAGCAGCAAGAAGAAGCAGCAGGCTCTGCCCGGTTGGTGCAAGGGCTGGCACCACAATGCCAGCAACTGGGAAAGCCCACCCCAGCAAGAAACCCCCTCCTCACCATCTCCTTCATCCACCACGGCGTGCACCACCATGGGGTAGACCTCCCGGTCCAGGTCGAAGCCCAGCTGGAGAGAGACAGGAGGAGAGCCTCGGTGAGATGGAGCAGCGATGGAGGCTTCGTCCCATGTCCATGACCGTACCCGACGCCGTGGTTGATGCCACGGGCCTGTGGGACCCACCTCATCCTCGCTCCACTCGGAAGGGTCGACGGTGTGGGAGGGCACGCAGAACTGCTGGCACACTCCCCGCTTGTAGTGCACCGTCTCCGACTGCAGGCTGTTGTCCCTGGGGATGTAGCTGTCCCACGGGAAGAGGACAGTCAGGGACACCGCGGGTGTCCCTGCACTCCTCCCAGTCCCCCGGCTCACAAAGATGCCGGGAGGATGGGAGAGAGGGGGATCACTCCTCCCCTCCCCGCCTGGGTGACTGTTGGGAATGACGTAAGAAGTCCTAAAACAGGCGAAAATAATCCACGGGACTAAAATAACCCCAGGGCAGCCAAGATGGGACAGCAGGGGCCAGGGACAACTCCACAGCCATCCTGGCGGGGACCAGGAGTGGCGATGATTTCTCCTCGTCTCAGCTCTGACCTGGAGGTCAAAAGAGTGAGCAGGATGGGATGGCGAAGGAGGTGGCGGGGGCTGGCAGGGAGCTGGCGATGGCACCAGGGAAGGCGAGGAACCTCGCTCCAGCCTCAGCACCGCCAGCAGCTGCCTCCTGCCCTCAGTAAGGGAGATGCTCCGGGGAGGAGAGGCTCCATGTCCATCAGCAGAGACTCACACCCTCGCTGGGGAGACACAGGCCAGGCTGGGAGGGGGACACAGGCCAAGCTGGGGCTCCTCACCTCACCACCCCGTTGTGAAACTCCTCGGTCGCCTGGTAGTAGATGGTTATGGCCACGCGGGCGTCCGTGTCGAAGGTGAACTCCACGTTGTAGTGCACCTTGGCTTTGCTGACTTCTTCCCCCGGGGTCTTCACCTCCTCCGAGCACCTGGGGAGCACAGAGAGTCCAGGAGATGGGCACCCCTCAGAGACAGCGCAGGGTGCCCCAAAACTGATCCCCTGGAATGAGGCCATCCTCGGCACCGGTAGCCCCAAAGGTCCCCCCTCTGTCAGGGGAAACTGAGGCACGCCAGGAGAACCCAGCTTGCCCGAGGTCACGCGTGCAGCCTGGGAAGTGCAGCGGGCAGATTTCAGCCGTAATCCCTGGCCTCCCTCCAGCAAAGCCTTTGGAAGGTGGGGGAGGAAGAAAACGCAAAGCACTTCAAAGGCAGCACTAAGCTCCTTTAATCCCGCCGTGGAGCCAGCGCAGCCGGTGCCCGCAGAGGGGAAGCTCACCCGTGCCGGGAGTGGAAGGGGCACATTTGGACAGCGGTGGCTCGTCCCCCTCCATCCACCCAGGCCAAGACAAGAGCATCCCTGCGCTCAGCATCCCCCAGGAGCATCCAGCCGGACCCTTCCCTCCCCGTGGCTCATAGCCATGGGGGGCCCGGCCCCATCTTCCCCCCCACAGGACTCACTTGACAAGGCGCAGGGTGTCCTTGCGGATGTTGATTAAGCTCCTGAGGGTTTTCACGGGTTCCTGAGGAGGTGGAGCAGCATAAGGGAACTAGGACAAGAGAGACACTGGTGAAGCCAAACACACGGAGGGGGTTTACAGCGGCCGCGGACCTTGGACCCGGGATGCTCAGTGACCCAGCCCCAACCCGACAGCCCATATCCCAGGGCAGGCTGAGCATCCTGATGGGTGCTGAGCACCCACAGCTCCCACTGGCACTTGGGTACCAGGCAGCGTGACAACGGGGACATCTCCCCTGCAAAGTGAAAGCCCAAAAGCCCTTGCAGGGGACAGTTTCACTGGGCGGGCATGCAGAGAGCGGCTGCTCCTTGTCCCTTTGGCCGGAGGGCGAGGGGGACGCAGGGCACAGGGCAGCCAGGCGGCTGCTGAGGTGTTTTCAGGCTGCTGATGCAATGCAGAGCGGCTGGATGAGGAAAGGGCTCCCTCTCTGCCCACCAGCCAAGGAACAGACACAAATGCTCCTGTTTTCTCCTAAGGATGGATGGGATTTGGGTGGTGGGGTCTCTGCCAGCCTTGTCCCAGGAGCAGGCTGCTGACAGGGTGGCTGGGCAGGACCAGGCAGGCAGCATCGCTACGAGGGGAGAGGCGTTGAGCCATCTGCCAAGGTGATCTTGTCCTTGTCCTTCCTGTCCACCTGCAGCCACCACGGGGGCTACAGGGCTTGCTGGGGAGAGGGGACACCCTCTCCTTGGCACCGCAGCCACCCAAGCGGGACTGCGGGCACCGGGGACACAGGATCCATCTCCCCCCCTCCCCATCTCCACCTCCCAGGTATGCTGAGCCCCAGGAAGGGATCAGCCCCCAAGGGGGAAAACACAAACACACGTTGGAGAGACAGAGGCTTCCACCAGGATTAACGCCCGGCTCACCAGCGAGCTGTCACCACGTGCCAAGGGACAGCCAGAGCCAGGAGGGCATCAGGTGCCATCGGGGGTGGCAGATGCTCACGTGAGCCAAAGGGCTCAGTCGCTGCCTTGGGAGAGGGAACGGGTAACCCAGGTAGGCTGCCTGGGTCCTGTCACCACCTCCAGCCCAGACAAGGTGCTCGGGGACAGCGAGGCACCCGCTGCACCCCCGATACTGAGGGGACGAGACTGAAATGCAGATGGCACTTGGGGATGGCCCCCGGGGAGCCAGATGCCCATTTCCCACATCCCTGGCACCCTTGCGTGGGAAAGCCACCATCACCTTCCCCGTCTCCAAGGCCAATGTCACCTTCCCTGTCCCGGTCACCCTCCCCGTCCCCAAGGCCACCATCACCTTCCCCGTCCCTGTCACCTTCCCCATGCCCAAGGCCCTGCAGAGCAGGACGGATGGGGCTGGGGCACCAGTGCAGGGCTCAGTGGGATGTGGTGGGAGAGGCAGCTCGCAGGACCAAGCAGTGCAGGCAGAGGCCTGCCTCATCCCTCCTCCTCCTCCAGCCAGGCATCACCTCCTGTGTCCCGCCATCCCACAGCTCCGGTCCCACGGGTGGCATCCAAAGGCAGGTGAAAGCCTGGGCTGGACCCAGCATGGCTGATGGCACGGGGTGCTTTGAGAAGGAATCCACAGCACCTCGCAATTGCCACCCCTTCCCTCCCTCCCCTCTGGGAGGGGAAAGGGCAGCTGAGTCATTAATCTGACGTTAATGAGCTTTTTAACAAGTCAGACGTGCTACATGGGCACCTGCAGAATCGTCTGTTGCAGCTGGAAGGGAGCAAGCGAGGAAAAGGCCTCCGGGCTGGAGCGGAGCCATGTCATGACAAGCCACGCCATGTCGTGATATTCGAGTTAGTGAAGCAATCCAACCCTGCTCACTCGCACCTTGCCCAGCAAAGCTGTACCCAAACCAGCCCACAGCAAGCGGCAGAGCTCGTCCCGGCAGGAGGGAGCAGGCAGCGGGGTCCCCCGGCTGCAGCCCCGGGGGGGCCGTCGGGCTGGGCAGGATGGGGAAGCGCCGAAGGCAAATTTCACGCTGCAGACACCACTTCGCCGTCACCCGTTGGGCTCTTTCACACCCACGTGTGGGCTCTTTTTTGGGGGGGGTTGGGGTTCTTTTGAAAGAAATTTTGCAAGCCGGATTTGCACATCAGAAAGGGGCTGTTTAGAGGACTTTTTGCATCTCTTCAACTTAAATAAAGCTGAAAAACAACAGAAAAAAACCTCACTGCAACCATTACTCATTTAAAAACACCACCCATGCACCTATAGCGACATTTGGTCCAGACCATCTTCTGTTAAAGTGAACCCTTCCCCTCAAAAATCTTCCTTGGGGTTTTTCTACAAGGACACCCTGATTTCTGCAGGCAGGGAACCCCAGCAGCACGTTTCAACAGTTCCCAGCTTCCCTGGAACACCTCGTGCTCTCCTGGTGCTGCAAGCAGCTTCTCCTCTCCTTGGTCCGTGCAGAGATGTCCCAGCATGGTGGCAGCTACTTAAACCTGTAACACCCTTCCCAGCCCCTTGGGAACCTGTTCCGAGCTGGAAAATCCAGATTATCCTGTATCCATGAAGGAAAGAGTCTGCACAGCCTCTGGGTGCTCCACACATCCCTGCAGCAGCAGCGCTGTTCGTAGCTGAGACGAGGTGCTCAGCTCAGAGAGGACTTGGGACCCAATTTTTTTCCAAGACATCCTCGACCTCGTTACCCAAGGAACCCAAAATAAATCCCCCACCAAAAAGCACTGGCTGTCTCTGACATTTCCAGCCCACCCAGGGCTCTCACAGCAGGCCAGAATGAGAAAGCATTGCGGCCAAGAAGCATCGGGGAAGTCTCAGAGGCGGAATCAGAGATGGCCAGACACTGCCCGGGCACAGGCTGGGGCCAGAAACAACACACGTCCTTCCCAGTCCCCCTGCCCCAAGCCCCCAAACTGGCCTGACCCGAAAGCCCAGCCCCGAAACAGCCTCCAGTCCCCAGAAGACGGGACCTCGGTCGCAGCTCTGCAGCGCAGGGCCATCGCTAATTAAGCCAGAGCAATGCAATTTAGCTTGCAATGCTATATTAATTCTTTCTGCTGTTTCCAAGCTGTTCCTTTACCTTCCCCGCTGTTTCTGCTGTTGGGATGTCTGACACGGGAACTGCTCGCTGGGCAGTTCAGAGGCTTTTACTGTAATCAAGAGCGTTTGTCAGCGCTCGCTGCTGGAGAGAGAACCGAGCGCTGACTTTTCATTTTCTGGGGAAGCGCAGAGGATGGAGAGAAAAGCGCTGGCTTTGTCTGCCCGACGCCCATGGGTTTTGGGGGGTGCTCCTGCCCTCGGCTCTGCCGGGATCCCCGCTCTGGCACAGCCCCGGGGCTGGGCACATCCCCGCTGAGGGATCCTACGATGCTGCCAAAACGCTGCTGAAGCCAATTTCAAGGAGGGAACACAGACCGGGACGGCAGCAGCCTCGCCAGCCCAACACAGCAGGCAGCGTTCAAGAGCCGGGCCATTAGCACCGGGCAAATTTATCTTGACTCAACAGAAAGGCTTTGGTGCCTTTTAATTCCTCACCTTGAATTTTTTTTAATACTTGAGCCCTGCACCGCTCCAGCCGACGCTGGCGAGCCGCCCCGCTGAGATGCACTCGGAGGAGCCGGGGACGCTGAAGCCCACCGTGGGGACAGCCCCGCTTTCACTTCCTCCCTCTCAAAAGGCAGCGAGCAATAAAAACAGCTCCAGGGTGGCGGGGTCTGGGGACCTCCTCTGCAGCCGGGTTTCTGGGTGCCCCAGGACCGTCCGGAGCCGGCAGCACCCAGCACTGCGAAACCCATCGGTGCTGCCACCTCCTCCCCCTTCCCCCCTCCCCCAGCCCCTTTTTCACGCTGGAGTTTACGCTGCTCCTGTCCAAGCTACTCTGCTCCGCACCACGCCAGCGCCGCTCCCGATGTGTCCCCCACCCTGGGCCATCCAGGCTGGCTGAGCTGGGAAAGGCAAGAGGAAAAGCAGCTCTTGGAGATGGACTGAGAAAGGAGGAGTTGGCTACATCAGCCCATTACCCCTCAACATCTTCATCACCAGCTGATGTTTTCAAGCAGGAGGGTTTATGGGTGGAAGCAGCTCTTGGGGGTTGGAAAATACATGCAGGTCTGATGACCCACAACACGGACACTGCAGAGAGCAGAACCCAAAGGCAGATTCACGCAGTCGCTCTGCCCATTCCCAACCACTTGAGAACCTATTCACCCCTTGCAACTCCAGTCTGGCAGCGAGGTGAGAGGTCTAACAACAGCGTTCTGCTGCTGCGGAGCACGAGGACGCGGGCAGACAGGCTGAGAGGAGACCCGGGTTAGCGCCCGACGGAGCACAGGCTGCAGCAAGTAGCCAACCCTTATAGACAGGACAGGGGGTAGTGGCTTTAGACTCAAAGAGGGCAGATTTAGATTAGATATAAGGAAGAAATTCTTCACCGTGAGGCTGGTGAGGCCCCGGCTCAGGGAAGCTGTGGCTTCCCCCTCCCTGGCAGTGGCCAAGGCCAGGCTGGCCGGGGCTTTGAGCAGCCTGGGCTGGTGGAAGGGGTCCCTGGCCGTGGCAGGGCGTTGGAGCTCGATGATCTCTAAGGTGCCTCCGAATCCAAACCATTCTCTGATTCTATATTAGACATCAGAGAATCCACTCGGGCCACTCCAGGCGTGCTTGGCTGGCTCTGCCCTCGTGGGGTGACAGCCAGCAGCCTTACACCACGCACCCCACACCACACACAGTCGCTACCACTTTGGGAAGTGGCCTGGGCCCTGTGTCCCCTTGCCAGCCCCACGCCCCGCCGGTGCCCACCACCACAGGCCGGTTCCCCAGGAAGTTGAGGTCGCTGTTCTCGCCGAAGAGGTAACCCTCGGGGTGCGTGGAGTCAAACTTCTCGCCGCCCATGATGAAGTGGTTGGCAAAGTAGCTCCCTGGAAAGAAAACACAGAGACTGCCTGAGGGGGGGAGGACAGGGCTTCAGCCAGGCGATGGAGCAGCACGAAGCCACCAAGTTGATGGCTCAGAGGTGGCTGCAGCCCCAGGGCCACCTTGCTGGGAGCCTTTCGGGTTGAGCTCACACGCTGCCAGCCTCCAAGCAGGCAGAGGTGACGGGGGAGCTGGCCAAGAAATGACCCTTCCCGGCTGCCTTCTGCCTGCCTGCCCTGCCCGCATCCCCCCGCTGCCAGCAATCCT